CACCTTCTCCGCCAACATCTCGCAATTGATGTATACCAGGCACAGCACCGATTTTGTCAACTTCGTCTAAGAATACGATACCCATTTGCGCTCTCTCCACTACGTAATTAGCATCTTGGAGTAGTTTTGCAATAACACTTTCTATATCTTCACCGACGTATCCTGCTTGCGTTAACGTCGTACAATCACAAATCGCAAAAGGTACGTCCAAACATTGAGCTATTGTCTGCGCAAGCAACGTTTTTCCGCTACCAGTTGGCCCGAGCAACAAGATATTACTTTTTTCTAATTTCAGCTGATGTTGCTTACTATCCAGGATATCGGATCCAGAGACTGATTGATTGTCAGTTGATTTGGGTTCGTTTCCTGTAGGATATTGCTGGAATCCAACACCAAGCGAATTCCCAATAGTTGAAATATGTAATAGGTCTATAATGAAAAGAGATGATATAAATTGTTAATTGAAATTTATAGATGTTCGAGTAAGTTTATAGTTGGTTAGAAAGTTGTTATCCTAGCAACGGTGTATATTACACAAACGCTACATTACCGTAAAATTTTATAATCTAACGCTGACTAATCTTTCCGAACAATTATTCATAATTGAACGTTATATATTATTTTTTATATGTACAAAATGGGGAAACTATTATTTACGTGGTTTAAGACCTCTATGAGTGAAGGGATGATTCAGATCTTGTGTACCACTTGCATTAATAGAACCTTGCATTGAATTCTGCACTGGAAAATTATTATAGATTCGTTTGTAGTGATTATAAACAGCAACGCTCAAAACTTTTTTAGCATATTCTTGCCCTATAACATGTTTGTTTAGGTACTCAAAAATCTGAAAATACCGATAATTATTAATACCTGTTATAGTAATTTATTGCACAATTATAAGCAAAGTTCTTCAATCTTTTACATGTATATAATTATTTACATATAAGATACTACTTATACATTACTGCTACCTTTTTCGGTGGAGGCGGTGGTTTTCTGTAAAATCCTTGTTTCGTATCATCGGGCCTCAAAGCTTCTTTAAGACTTCTCTTTGAATCTACCTCTGATAGAACAACGAAAAAATGATGGCATTTCTCGCACTTTACAAACCTTGTAGATGCTAACAAAAAAGATGTTCTTATATCCTGGATAATTATTGGCAATTTGTACATTTATTCTATGCAAACAAAGTTACACGTATTATGTACTTACACACAAAAGTTTCTACATGCGTACAGGGATCACCACATTTCGGACAAGTAAGCGTATTTTTTTTTCCTCCACCATTACCAACAGAAGATACTCCACCACTGGCATCTTTTCCTGGCGGAGTGGGTTCTGTGGGTGCTTTTCCTAATGCACTGCCAACTGTCAACGATCTCGAAACAGCCACTCTTACAATTTTGTGAACTGACATGGAAATAAATGATTATTCTCGACTTTGAATTAAAATAACAAAATGACTGGCAATAAATAAGTTGAAAGTATGGAATATATCACGTACTTACCATGATTTGCCACATGATTGGAAGATGCTATACGACCAGCGCTAATTAAGCAACAACGAACGCAACTCATCTTTGTTCTTTAATATCAAACGATATGCAAAAGTGGAGAAAAAGATATTGCGATAATTATTTCAGTTGCTCGAGAGAAGCCCTAAATTGGAACAAGATATATAGATCAATATAAATTGAACGAATTTTTTGTAGGAGATCTAAATACATTGAAACAGCTAATCTTAACTAAGTGCAACTAAACTATTGAAAAATAGTATAATTTTGTTATGTTACCCGTCTAATTCATGCGAAATTGTCAAACAAAAAATGCGATATAAAAAGGAAAAGAAAGTATATACGGTAAATTGTAGGAAATATTAACGAAATTTTATAAAAATTTTGTATGGATTTAGAGAGAAATTGAGGAGTACGAAATAAATTGGATGCTTGTTTCCTCCAACAACGAAGAAGGATAACGTTCTGGCTTTCGGTAACGAAAACATAATTGTGATGTATGCATCGGAAAGCAAAATACGACCATGGCTTGGCGAATGTCAAGGTAAAAATAAACATTAAAATAGCAGCTTGAAGTTAACGAAAGTACGAAAATATCGAAGATACTAACCTGGCAAAATAATAATAATGCATGAAATGTTGGCAATTATTCATAATTTATTAATTTGTGTGACGGGACGTGCAAAAAACGCCCAATGATCCAAAAAATCTTGTGCAAATGAATTACCGCGAACGGATCAGGGAAACAGATTAATTTAAAGACACAACCTTCTGACATATCGCATTACAAGGTGCAACAATCGTTTGAAGCCTGATTCAAGGTCATTGGTTGATTTCCCTCTGAAACTTTCCGATACTACATTTGTTGTTTTGAAGTTCGTTCGAAAACAAACAATGTTCAATTTACCTCCGTATTAATGAAACATTTATAAAGTATGAAAATGTTGAAGAATTATATGACATGATCTTGTACGCACGTACCTACATACGTGGCGAATATGTATATATGTTTCAGACAATCACGGTCACGATAAACTCTCTTACTAATGGCTGATACTTCTCTTAATAACTGAAATGTTACAATTGCTTCAAGTCCAAACGTTTACAAGTCCGTCTTTTAAACGGAGCAATTTTCGCGTATTCACTGTTAGATTTTGTCATCGAAGTTTATCATATCAACGTTCTTTAAACAAGCACACACTGCACGCAATGACGTTTCGTCGAAATAACGAAACGTCAGTACGTCTTTACGTATGGTCACTCGAGGGCGCTTGGCGTGTTGTGTTCCTTTACGTATGTGTGAATATATCTACACAGATGGTATAAAATATTTGAACGCGTGTCAATAATTGCAGTACTATTTACCTTGAAGTTGATTTCAATCAATTTTCCAAACAATTTCGACCAATCATAAATTTAGTTCAATGTTTTTCTCTATCCCTCCTCTCCTTCTATCCATTCCCCTTCCTTTCCATCCCATTTTTTTTGTTTCCCTCTCCTGCCTTCTGTAAGTGTTTAATTCATTTTATGCTATCACAAGTTGTGTTATTAGCCCACATATACATACTTATGTGCATACATATAATGTGTGTGTGTGTGTGTGTACGCGACAGAGGCGTACTCTGTGCACATGGATGTTGCTTAAAAACAAACAGGGAACAACATTGTTGCATCGTGCATTTGTTTTTCCGTTGATATTCTGTTATTCCCTTCGTTTTCAGATGTTAATGTACTACCAATTTGAAGAAACAAAGTGAAGAAAATGGAATTAAATAATGAGGTATGTTTTCAGTACACTTTTAATTTTTGTACAAATAAAAACGGTTTCACGGTTTCGCAGATCGTTTTATTACGGCAAATCGTCCGTCAGGCACGCATTTGTGTAATAAATAAATTGATTAGAGAAGGGAAAAGGTTACGTAGTAATCACGGTAACGAAAAACAATTGGAGAAGAATAAATATAAAGCAGATAAACTTTGGAGGGAAGTTTTTGCATTGAAACGTATAAAAGACGATGAGATATCGAGATTTGGAATTGTTAGCTTTGAAAATTTGCAGGAGATATTAGAAAATTCACAGACCGACGATGGCACTCGTGCTATGGCCAAAGTTGTTCGTCATAAATCTTTAAGTTTGAAAGTAGTAGAATTTCGGGAGAAATTTCCAAGTTACAAGGAATATATTTCGTGGAAGGAAAGGAAACATTCGTCGAAAAAGAAAAGAAACATTGTTACAGATTTGCCAGAAGAAAGTTTAAAAGAAGTAGGAATGGTGGATAGAAATGACGTGGCAAAAGAAGCAGCACATAAGGAGAATGTGAAAGATAGAAATATTGTTACTTATGTTACTCGCATACCTAGTGTAAAAAATAAAAAAGTGGATGAAACATATGGGAAATTAGTAGAAGAGAAAGAATCAGATAAGGAAGATATAGCAGGTAAAGGAAATACTGTGGAAATAGCAAAAATTCACGATGCAGAGGTGCAATCTGAAAATGGTGAAGAATCTAAGACTACGACCAAAGTGATTAGCAAGGAGGCCACTGTTAAGAGATTTACAGAAATTTTAGAAGATAGAAAAACAGAAGAAGAGAAAAGTGGTTTAGAAGAAATTAAGGAGCAACAGTTTTCTAACGAAACAGTAAAATTTACAAGGGAAATGGATGACTTTTTCTTAAATGCGGACGATGCAACTACATTTTCAAGCATTCCTGTGTTCTCTAGACAAGAAAATACAGACAATATATCGAATGTTAGTTCTGATGCATTTAAGTCAGATAGAATAAGAAGTAAAAAAGGTAAATTATATAATGAAAAAGTAAGGAAGGCAAACGGGAATGAAAGGATAGAAAAACTGAACAACAAGGATGTTTTTCATAATGGAAATGGTACACCAGAAAGGAGTATTACATATTGGAAAGAAAATAGAAAAGATGCAAAAGAGAAAGAAAGGAGCATTAAAAGCATAAATGTTGCGGAGAGTGTAAGTTTACATCCTTCTTGGGCTGCAAAAAAGAAACAGCAAAATATTTTGAAACAAGGGTTTCAAGGAAAAAAGATTAAATTTGAGGAAGACTGAGTATACGAATTTTCTAATTCTTCCATTGAACTCTTTTAGTCTATATAAAAATAAAGAAATAGTTGTACGTCAGTGTTGGCAAAAAACATCACTTAAATATATTTTTCATACATTCCCTCTAACCGATACACATGTACATTTGTTTAGGTGATAATTTGTATAAATGAAATGGAAGAAAGGCCCTAACGTGGTTTAACTAACTAACTAACTAACTAACTAACTAACTAGCTAACAGTTTCATAACTAAACTAATACAATTTATATGTAAGATTTTGATGAAAAAAAAATGAAATTGGTTTAAATTTGAATAAAAATGGTTGGACTGAAAATCAAATTACAATATAATACAGAAAAGTACACAGTAATATCATATAATAAGACATAATAATATTAAAACACATGTGTAGTAATGCTTTTTTTTAATTCAAATATACTAATTTGAAATGGATATACAAAATGGGTAAGAGGTTTTACAATAATGGCCGTATTGACGTTGATGGTGTATTTTAGTTTAAATCTATCTGCGTCCAGCGCTTGAAGATGCGTAATCTCTGTGAGACTTGTTTAACCGCCCTTGTAGCAATCGACGTTTCTGACGTTGGCAATCAATGGACATTTTGATCGCATACTGCATTGTAGTCGTTGTAATAGGAATATCATACAGCGTAGAGCGTTCCGAAGTATGCGAGTTACTCACGAGGTAAAACTTTGAGTAGACGCAAATGAAAATACATACATATATCGTTTGATTGGTCGTTGTTGTTCAACTAAAGTACACGTGGCGGGAAATGAAAGTGGGAAAAATTCAATACTATTGCTATTTTTTCACAATTAATCTTTGAACGTAACTTTTTATCCTTTGTTTCAACGTTTTGGTGAAACTGAATTTTCTGACGGCACTAAACGCGCAGACTGATTGTAACAGTTTGCGGTTGTTATATCGATCGAGATTTTTAGAAATTGCGTGTTTAACGATGACGTAGAAAAGTGAGCGTTCAAATTTGACGTTCGTTTCATTTTTGTCCAATTATATCCCCTTTAATCTTCGTAATCGTTCTTTCACTCTACATATTCTTGAGAGATTACCTAAGGAACGTATCATTTGTTGATTGTAGTTTTTTAAGTGCATATTTTTATGACTTTTTATATTATTTATAGTTTGAACGGACCTTCTGCACGATCTATTTTTAACGTATACGTACGTATATCCGTTCTTTATTATTTTCATATTGTGCGTTTGATAACACACATACATATGTATATTTTTTCAAGGTTAAGTTAAGAACTTGAATTCGTTGAAATGAATTTTCGTATAGAAATAAACTCGTAAATGTTTGCGTTAGGCAAATGTGTAATATCGTTCTCTTAACTTTCTTTTTTTTTCTCCTCTTTAATATGAAGAAAAGGAGGTAAATTTAACACGACTGGACTAATTTCTTTTCTTAAGAGACAAACACTAGAATGTCTGACACGAGATTCTAAATACGTATGATGCATTTCGAAATATTTAAAGAAAGAAAACCCTCAAAATGACAACTGGAATGAAACTCGAACAAACCTGTGCTTAGACCGTTCAACTACCATT